CCCCCGGGACCATTCGCCTAATTAGACTTTTTATATCCACGGATTTTTATCAACACGGATGGAAAACAATGAAAGGAAGGCGGTGCCGCCTAAAGACCAATTTTACAAGACCAAGCTCTGCATCCCTTTTGCTTCCGGGCAATGCCGGAGGAGCAGGAACTGTTGGTAAGCACTTGGCCACAAAAACCATATACCCTGTTCAGTTTTGCCCACGGAGAAGCAGAGCTACGCGCCCCGCTTGACCTATTAAAGACGAAGATGTGTGAGGCCTGGATCCAAGGCAAGTGCCTTAAAGGAGCGAAATGCAGTAAGTCCTACTCTGTGCAATGGTGTGTACAGATTTTCGTACGGCGCACAGATTTTCGTACGGCGCACAGGTTTTCGTACGGCGCACAGGTTTTCGTACGGCGCACAGGTTTTCGTACGTCGGTGAGTATGTTTCATTTCAGATTATGCGCACGGCGAGGATGAGTTGCGGGCTACTTCGGATTACTATAAGACAGGTATTTGCAAATTCTGGAAACGTGGCTTGCCGTGTGAAGCGGGCTTAGAATGTAGACATGCGCATGGAGAAGAAGAGTTACGGGCCCGTAACTATCGACGGACCGAGCGGGATAAGCGGGAGTCTCGAAGTAGTAAAGGTGGTAGCACAGACGGTGGCTCCGTGCAAAACAAATCATGGACGCCAGATAGTACTTCGTCGCCAACCCCTCAGACGACGAACTGGTCTCAGAACGAAGCTATAGAAAATCTGGAGGCTGTGGTAGACGAGCTGCTGATAGAGGAAGGTTTCGCGCACAGTGTCAGCTCGCCTGCCTTGGCCTTGGGAGCATATGCAAAAAAATCGCCCTCTTTACTGGGCTCCTCTATGCAGTCGCCCTTAGTGCAATCCGCCTCTGTGCAACCACCATCAGTCCATGTTCCGTCGCCTTCTGTGCAGTTACCCGTCGCTACGTCCCCCTGGGCGAGCGACTACGGAAGTACACGCGGTAGCACCGGGAACCTAACCGCGTTCGACCAGCCCAAGCAACTCACTGTCGAGGCTCTACTCTCCCAAACGAAGCCTACTACCCGCGCCGCCAGCGGCGTCAACTTGAATTGCTATAGCCAAAAAGAAAGGTCCATCAAAAAACCACCTCTATATATCATCACTGAGAAAAACCCAGAGTTCGATCCTTCCATGGCCATTACGATAATAATTGATGATGAATACATAAAATGTAATGTAGAAGAGGTTCAAATTCTCCGGGCACCGCTGTCATCCCCTGGGTTGAGGATAGAGGAGCCGAGGGATGAAAACTATAAACTCTGCGATCTTCTGCAGATGCTACAATCTTGACTGCAGTTACCACAATCCGGACTGCAGTGGCTCAATCTCGACTGGCGAACAGACCAATGTTATTTTTCGTTCCAAATGACCATTTAAAACGTGTGCGCACACGCGTTTGGGGAAAGTCGAAGCTGTTCGAAACGTGCACCCCTCTCTCAACAACGCTCCATCATGGGTTATACAACTCTGGGGCTCCTCTCCGCCCTGCTGGCGACTCGATCTTACGCTGCGGGCAGGACTGAGCTGCGGTTAGACCTAAATAGGATTGACGAGCACCGGTTGATCGTTCCCCGCCACCGGGTTAGAGAAATTACCGTGGACTCTGAGCCGCAAAGTGTCTGCCCCGAGGGTTTTGAAAAATCGGCAGATAGCTGTGTTTTGGTGGAAACAGCGCCCGCGCTGAAAACATGTTTGCCGGGGTGGAGTCGGGGTATGGATGGATCTTGCGTGGGGTACAGCACGGCTGTGCCCGACCACACGTGCCAGGAGGGCAGCCCGCAGTACGGGAAATGTATTCAGCAGACATCGGTTGCGAAGCAGCTGATTTGCAAGGACGGATTCAGTTTGGACATTTCTAAAGGGGGTGTTTGCGTCAGAGACCTGGCCTCGGCGCCACTGAAAACCTGCCCTCCGGGGTCGCAATGGGTGGATGATAAGTGCGTAACGGCGATAAAGGAGGCGCCAAGTCTGACTTGTCCCAGTGGCTATGAGTTTAACGGGCAGCGATGCGACAAGGTGACCCGCTCGCCGATGGAGACACACTGCGCAGACGGCTTCATTTTGCACCCGGTGAAAGGCAAGTGTCTAAAGGAGGTCCGATTGCCTGTTGCCGTGGACTGTCCCGCCGGAACGGAAATGGTTCTGGGTCGTTGCCAGTTGCGCGAAATGTTGCCCGTGAACGTGTCTTGTCCGCCGGGCCAGGAGCTGACGGGCGACTTGTGTTTGTTTTACGACCGCGCTGCGCCGCTCTTCCGCTGTCCCCCGACGCTGGTGCTAAACCCTTTGACCAATTACTGTGAAGGCGATCTGACGGCCGACCCGATTCCGGAGTGCACCAAAGGAACATACTATAACCCGATGACCGGACAGTGTGGGTCCGCCTTTAAGGTGAAGCAACCGAACCTGGCGTGTCCGCCGGATTTCCACTTTGCGGGAAAGCGGCTTTGCGTCAAACACGTGCAGGAGCCGGGCATCAAAGAGTGTCCCGCCGGCTTTGCGTTGGAATCGAAAGATTCGTGTGTTGCTCGACGAACGAACCCTGCACAGATCAAGTGTCCCGCGGGTAGTGTGCATCAGGGCAATTTGTGCGTGACCACACGCCAACTGGACGCGTTGTACACTTGTCCTAGCGAGACAGTGCGACAGGGCGAATTGTGTGTGGGTATTGTGTACGGCGCACCTCGGCGTGCCTGTCCGCCTGGGTTCTTCGGCGGACAGGATAAGGAGCGCATCTGCGTTAAAAAGGACTCAGTCGCCCCGAGCGCGCGTTGTCCAGTGGGCACGGTGCGTTCGGAGGGACAGCAGAGCATCGTGTGCATCGGGACGCTGGAGGTGGACAAGGAGCGTTACTGTGCGCCGGGTCAGCGGCAGAACAGCGAGGAGTGCTTGGAGACGGTGACGGAGCCGGCGACGGAAGCTTGTCCGCCCGGGTACTATGAGGACCTGCAGTTGGGTCGTTGTTTCACGGCGGAGTTGTTGCCATCGCACGCTATTTGTCCGGCCGGTTTCAAGTTGGTTGGCAACAAGTGTCTGAAGCAGCATGTGCGAGCGGCGGAGATCGTGTGTCCACCAGGATACAGTCGTTCGGGACCGTTGGAGTGTGCAAAGAAGACGACCGTGCCGGTTATCCACCAGTGTGCGTTCGGTTTCGAGTACGACGGGTTGCGTGGCTACTGTACGGCTACGAAGGTGAAGTACGAGTTCGCCCACCAGCCTGAGGAGGATGAGGAGACGACTACCACGGAGGCGCCGGAGGAGCAGTTGAAAGACATCGAGGTCACAACGCCGGCACCGTCGCACACGATTACGGTAGGCGGGACGTTTGTGGCGACGACAGAAGCGACTACGACACCTGAGGCGACGATCGAGGTGCAGGTGACGAAGCCGATTGTGCAGAAAGGTTTGGTGGTGCGGAATGAAGTGATCACATTGTCGGGGCCAGCTTCGCAAGTGGCCCGGAACCAGCAGGTGTTAAGTCAAGGAGGGGACGTGCAGGACCTCGGTTCGGAAGTTAAGGTAGAGTATGCGCCACCAAATGTGGCTTTTTAGTGTAACGATCTCGTTGTGTGCCTTTTCCCGTGATGGCCCAAGATGTCAGCGGGCGGTTGGATGCTGCAGCATATGCGTCGCGGCGCGCGCGCGCAGGCTGCTTCTTCTTGTGTGGACAGCGCATGGGTGGACAGTGCGTGGGTGGATAGTACGTCGAATGAGGACGCGTGCTGCAGTAGTTCTGAGAGCTGGGCGGCGTTGGATGAGGGCGAGCCGTGCGTAGGACGTGGCTGTGGGGCGGGTTGTTGCGGAAACGCGGCAGCACACACGTTTGCGGAAGGCGTGCGACGGTACCTGCACTCGGGTAGTGAAGACGTGTACAGCGAAGCAGACTCAGACATCGCAAGAGCGGACGTTCGCGACATCGCAAACAACTTCTTTTTCGAACGCGGCGGCTCCAGACGCCGCATTCGTACTCCTGAGTTCCCTGCCTCCCGCAAGTCCTCCACGGACTCCAACGAATCCATGCCACCTGCCCTGACCGCCCTTTATCGCCTGGTTCGTGAACTCAACGGTGCCGCACCCGACCTACGATCCGGACCGGGCTTCGACCTAACGTCGGAGCTACGATCCGGATTGGGTTTTGGACCCGGTTCTGCACCGAATTCCGAACTGCGGTCGGGCTCTGAACTACGGTCGGGGCTGGGCTCTGAGCTACGGTCGGCGGCGGCCGAGGGCAGTAGTAACGAAACGGAACTAATGATCCGAACTTTGGTCAAGTTGTTTACGACGTAAGTACCTAGTGCGTTCATCCAATTTTGCGCAGTATACAAAATGACAGACAGACCTTCCTGACCGAAGTCAAGCAACTGCGGGCGCAACTGCGCATGCTCAATACACGGCGCCACCAACAACGAACGCTCGATGGCGCTGGAGCTGGGATAGACGGTGCTGGTATAGACGGTGCCGGAGTGAACGGCCTTGGGGTCAATGGCGCTGGGATGGTGGAGGACGAGGCCGGTGGGTTGACGGCTACGGGGTTGATGGAGGCGGTGGACACGTCACCGGAGGGTTCGACGACGTTGACGGGTATCCCGTCAGGACGAGTCGTTCGCGGTGGTGGACGGGGCACGTTTGAGGAGTTCCAGGAGTTCGAGGTTGCGGACGGTGCAAAGGCGACACCCTGGTTGGTTGCGGAGGCCACGGAGATGCTGCCGGAAGAGACGTTGAGCACAGCGCATTCACCCACGAAGAAGAGCGAGTCGCGTGCGGATGCGCTGCTCAGTGACGTCCAGGACCGACTGCGGCACCGCGGCCGTTCGCTTGAACGTAGCACACGTTCTGCGGCGGCGGCGGCGGCAGGGCACACACGACCGGACGGGGCGATGTCGGGTCAAATATCGGGTCAAGTCTTGGGCGCGAACGGGACAACTTCAGGGGCGACTTCAGACCGACGAGCATTGTTGAAGAGCGAGATCGAGCAATTGCGGGCACAGGTTCAGGTGTTGCGGGGCCAAGTGCAGGAGGTGGGCACGGAGTTGGGCGTGAGGACCGTTTTATAAAAATGTATTATCGGGTTTCCGGTCGGGTCCCGGCCACCGCTGGACACCACCGCTGCCCCACTGCGGTAGTGCCGACCGAGTTGCCCTCTGCTCTGACGAAGCCGAGACCCCGAAGCCTGGATCATATTGTCCAACTTCGCAGCTACCCAACCCCTGGCCGCACGGAGTACCGCGCCGACCTGGACCCCTTCCGAGGCGCTGACCCTTTCCGAGGCGCTGACCCTTTCAGGTCAGACCCCTTCCGAGGCGCAGACCTGGACACACTCCGCGCATCCCCGGGACCCACGGCCTACGCCTCGCCCAGCCTCGAGTCTGCCTCTACCTTCGCTCCGTCACCCAATGCCGTACGCACATCCGTGCACCGACTCAGCTCCTACCGGACCACCTCACCATCCCGGTCGCCTTTCGCCCAACCTCTATCAACCACACCGTCGTCAGCTTCTGGGGCGCTCTCTAATAATGCTCTGCCTACCGGCATGGCACCAGGCGGTGCCATGTACGGAACAAGCGGCGGAGGAGTCGGAAGCGGGGTGCCACATGCGAGCGACCCGCAGATCTACGTCGGCTCACGACACCCTGCGGAGATCCGTGCAGCTTCGGACAACTCCGAACGAAACGCTGCGCCGGTCAGGACTGTTCGATCCGGTATTTACGCTACTAACCGAAGCAATTGGGGGTCTGTGCAAGCTTCAAGTCAGTCCCCTGTGTATCAATACTCCGCTGGTCAGCAAGCTTCTCCCGCGCTGCAGCCCTCTTCAGCCTCTGCAGCTTTGTTGAGCCAGCGGCTTTGCGTCCAAGCCAATGCCGGTGGCCAAGATGAGGTGTGTTATCCGGGCACTTCTCGGGGCATTGGCTCTGTTCTGAGCCCGTCGGCGGTCGTTCGGTACTCCCAAGGACCCGGGATCCCAGGACCCGGGATCCCAGGACCCGGGACCTCGGGACCTGAAAACTCATTACCCGGGACGTCAGGATTCGGGACCTCAGGACTTGGGACCGGGGCCTCAAGACCTGAGACCTCAGGACCCGGGGGCTCAGCCTACGGGCAATCTCGGGGCTACGGACCCGCGGGGCATTCATCAAACCCGGTGTCGGGGTACACATCTGCTCTGACGGCTGCGGAGTTTGGTAGCCGGTTGACCAACGGGTCGCGGTTGACTAATGGGTCGCGGCTGACCGGCGGCTCGGTCGGTTCTCTGCAGGCTGTTGCGGTGAGTGCGCAAGCTGCGCTGCCTTCGGGGCGTAGCAGCGGTGGTTCGGGTCTGAGTGGGTCTGCTGTGAGCACAGGTCGGTCTTACCACCTGGGCTCGTTGGGGTACAGTTCAATGGGCTACGGTGCCGTGGGCTACAGCACCGGCGGCTACGCTGGTGGCTATGCTGGCGTGGGTGGTCGTGTTCCGCGCGATGTTTCGCTCCCTGGTGCGCTCCGTGACTCTTCGCTTTCGCGACTCGTCGAAAACGAGACTAAAACGCGCCACTTTTCCCAGGCTGAGCGACTGTCCCCTGAACGAGTGCGTGCTGAGCGACTGCCCGGTCGTCTGTCCCCTGAGCCCCGACGCCCCGCGGAAGACCTCTCGCCCGAACGACGAGCCATGCAGCGACTTGAACAGCGGCAGGTGCCGCCACGGGCACCCGGTTTCCGCGCCCTATCACCTGTGCCTTTGTCGCTGCAAACTCGCGCTGCCCCCGAAGGTTCGGACGCTGGCCAAGAAGACAAACCTGAAACGCGAAGACAAGACTCGAAACCCTCCGAACGCTGCGGCATTGGAGAACCAGGACCGAGTCAATCAGTACCTGGTCAACCACTGCCAGTACCTGGTCAACGTGTGTTAAGTCGGCCCATGCTCAATCGACCGATGACTGGTGACCAGTTCGTGGTGGGTAGTCAGTTCAGGGTTAGCAACCAGTCCATGGCCGGAGACCCGTCCGTGGCAGAGGGTGACCAGCCCGTGGCTGGTGGGCCCGTGGCCGGCGAGCCAGTGGTCGGAGAGGTGACGACATCCAGCACATCTCGCGGGCGCGGGCTAATTCGAGATCTGTCGGCGCTCGAGTCCTATCGGCGAACCAGTCGACCGCGACGACCGCCTCCGGACTCGGCGAAAATGGTGAGTTGTGGGAGTGGCTTGGCGGGTAGCAGTTACTGGTCTGGGCCGTTAGCTAGTGGGCGTTTGGGCACTGAACAGGAGACGGAACGTTCGACTGCGCGGCGACCATTCGTTCCGCCGTTAGCACTGAACAAAGTGTTCCAGAACCCGGCGAACCGCGTCGTGCCGACGACCAAGGAGGTTAAGGACGAGCCGGCTGCGGACGCGGTCGGTTTTGGGAACCTTTTCCCGTCGCGGAAAGAACAAGTCGCCATAGCCAGCCATCGCGAACAGGAGGAGGCTGACCGAAAAGAGGAGGCTGACCGAGGGGAAGAGACTGAGCAAGAGGAGGAAGAAGGCGGCGGAGCGGAGGAGGGTGGCGACCGACGAGTGTTGGCGGGAGTTCGTTTCAACGACGCGATAAAGCCGTGCGAACAGCCGATCCACAAGTTCTACCGCGTTCCGGCGGCGGCGAACAACGTTTACCTTAGTTGGGCGGAGCAGGCGACGGCAATGGGGTGGGTGCGAGAAGTGTGTGCCCGCGATACACACATCTTGTTGAAGCCGCGGTTATCGCGACGCGCGGACAACACCTGGACCGTAACGCATGACTTCTCCCTGGTAAACGCGATGGCGACAGGCGAATTAAGGAACGTTTCACTACCGACTGCCGCGGACGTACACAATTGGGCATGCCGATTCCAGTTCCTTACTCGCGTCACGGTGCCGGGCGCGTCCTACGCTATCCCAATCGTGGCTGAGCAACAACAATACTATGGCTTCACCGTCGAACGCCCGGGCGGACCAACCAAATTCTACACATACACTCGCATGCCACCAGGAGCTCGAGGCGCTCCTAAGTTCCTTCTCGAATGTATGCACAAAGTACTCGCATACGGACTCGGCGAAATGAACCCTACAAATGCAAACCGAAGCCATCGCCGAAATGACCACGACAACCCACAAGACGGAGATGACCAGACTGGAGGTGACCAAGCTAAAGATGACCGAGCTAAAGGTGGCCGAGCTGGAGACAGTGATCTAATCCAGTCTCATGTTTTGCTCCGGGGTGAAGAGATGTTTGTGGGAGCCGAATCACGGGAGCTCCGAGACTCTATTTTGACGCAGATTGTAAAATTGTTCAATGAAAATGGCTTCAGAGCGATCATGCCCTCTCCGCGGGCCCTTGCTAATCCCAAGACTGGCTGCGCAGGACTTATTCACGACCGATCACTGATGTGCCTACGACTACCCGACCAAAAGCTGACCCAGATTCCAACGTTAGTCGCGTCCCTGCATACCCCCAAATGGTGCTCGGCTGCAAACCAGTTGCTTTCTTTGTTACTTAATTTTACTGACATACTTCCCAATAAAGTTAGAAGCGAAATGCAAAAACTCAAGGAAGCCGCCGACTGCCCGACCTCTGCGCTATTAGACAGCGCTATATATTTGACGTGGGACACACTAGCGAGAGAAGCATGGAGCTGGATCAAACCTTTCAGCAAACCTCCTTCATGAAGATTTTTTTGGGACAAGCGCGCGCGCGCGAGCAGAATAAAAAGCGCAAAAAAATGCAACTTTGGGTATTTAACCGCCTTAGGATCAATGACCAAACTGCAACGCTGTTGTTTCACCCTCAAACGTTCCATCTCTTCTCCCGGGACAACGAAACACAACTTTTTGTCGCTGCATACGATAAATGCATCTTCATTCCGCGATTCGTAACGATGCTCCACGGTGCCGCTTTCTCCACGAGAGTCCTGGGCGTTAGGATTGCATACTTGTTTGGGAAAGATAACTTTGATTCGGAGCATTGCCCGCGAACGACGAAGCCGGTGCAGTACTCGGGTGACCTGGATCCTTCAACGGCCCCCATCATGTCTAATGACGTGTTGGAAGATCATGTGTTGGAGGATCTTTTTGACTGTCAGAAGCAAAGTGGTTATTGGCAGCTGAAAGCCAACATGAAGAGGCATGGTACCTATTTCGACATGGCTGTGGATTCTGAAAGAAGCCTAATCGAGCTGTTTGTGTTGCTCATAGCGGCCAGGACGCGATCCCAGGCCTACCATGAAGCCTTGGTTACGGCCCGCCTTCGAGCGTTTTGGTTTGCGGAGATCGTGTTCCGACCGCCTCCAGATCTCCGTAAAGATAGCCAACAGGTAGCCCGTGGGGGTCGCCAGGTTTCTATTTTCGGACAGCAGGAAGTTTCACCTGCTGTGGAGGACTTTTTGAAAGCCAACGACGACGCCGGCGTAGGAAGCCGTTCATGTGGAGGCATTAATGGAGCCACCAGTTCACGACTGGGACAGGCCGTGGTGGACTTTCTGCAGCCTCTTGTAAGACCCTCTCTCTTGCGCAGCATTCGCCTCCGTTCGGCTGAGCGGTTGCATTCGACTGAGCCCTTCCATTCGAATGGGCGGAAGTTGTGGCTGCAGCGTATCCTTTCGTCCGTAGCCATCGTGCCTGCCCAACTCCTCTTGGACGACCCGAGCAACGAGTTCCAGTCGGCGTGGTTCGACATCTTCAGCCGGCCTGTGGAAGCCCCGCTCCTCTCCCACCCTCTCCCACTATTTCGTCGCGATGAACTGCCCGTTTCGGTCCCTTGCTCTTTTTGTCATGTGGCATGGAACAACTTTGACAATGTGTTGCGCCCGTTCAGCCGCACACATTTGCTGCACGTGGACTGCGCCTTGCGCTCATACTACGCCGACTGCAACGGACTCGGTAGTCGACTAAGCAGCGACGCAGACCTGTCCCATATGTAGGTGGATCTGATGGTATCGTCGTGCAGCAACCAAGTTGGCAACCAGGTTGGCAACCAAGTTGGCAACCAGGTTGGCAACTAAGCTGACCATCAAATTGGTCGGGGTAGGTTACAGTTTGAGGGTAGGTCACGCCCCCATGTGTGGCAGGTTATTTACGAAATAAATGGCGCCGAAGAAGTCGGGCAAGGCTAAGGGCAAGGCAGCAGCTGCGGGTAAGAGTGTGTCAGGTTCGCCTTCGAAGGCGGTGGATGCGGAGTTGCCCCCGGTGACGTTTGACCATATGTTGCCGGCGGTTGAGAATTCGTGTTTCCGTCGTTTGGGAGACTGTAAGGAGGTGCAGGGTTCGGGTCAGACGGCGGCGTTTGAGTACCCAGTGGATCGTTTATTTGAGAAGGGTTCATTCCCTGTGGCGGAGGTGATGGAATATGGTAATCATGGTGCCGAACGTATGAGTGGTGAGGAGTATCGTGAGCGTGACCGGTTGGCGACGGTTCATTATGACGACTTACGTCGTGCAGCGGAGGCTCACCGACAGACTCGGCGTTTTATGCATAGCGTGATTCGTCCGGGTGTAACAACGTTGGAGATCGCGCAGACATTGGAGGCGAAGAGTCGACAACTCATTAGCGCTCAGGGTCTGCAGGCCGGCTGGGCCTTCCCGACGGGTGTGAGTTTGAATAATTGTGCAGCCCACTACACACCCAACTACTCGGAAGACCCGGTTGTGCTTGGCCAGGGTGATATCATGAAGGTTGACTTTGGTGTGCATGTTGGCGGCCGATTGGTGGACTCAGCGTGGACCGTAGCTTTTGATTCTAAGTTCGATCCCTTAATCCAGGCCACCCAGGATGCTACCAACACGGGTCTGAAGCACGCAGGCATTGACGTGCAGTTAGGAGAGCTCGGGGGTGTTATTGAGGAAGTTATCCGAAGCTACGAGATGGAGGAAGGGGGCAAGACACTCGCCATCAAACCAATTCGCAACCTCAGTGGACACAGCATCGAACCCTATCGTATACATGCCGGCAAGTCCGTACCCATCGTCGCATGCGACGACCGCGACCGCATGGAAGAAGGCGAAGTTTACGCCATAGAAACCTTCGCCTCCACCGGACGAGGCTTCGTAGATGAAGTCGGCGCATGCAGCCACTATATGCTCGATTACGACTACGCACATGGACACAAGAAAGCACAACTTCGACAAGCCAGCGCTAAGCCTCTTCTAAACCTCATACAAAAAAACTTCGGAACACTCGCCTTCTGCAGACGCTGGCTAGACGATGCTGGCGCACCCAGACACCTCCTACATCTCAAGGGACTCGAACAAGCTGGAATCGTCAACCCCTACCCACCCCTCTCCGACACCGAAGGATCCTACACCTCGCAAATGGAACATACATTCATCCTCAGACCCACATGCAAAGAAATCATCAGTCGTGGCGATGACTACTAGCCGGCCACGTTACTCACACGAGTTTTATAGACACAGAAACGACGACCCATTTGGTCGTCGTTTCGACGGCCCCACGACCAAATGGACCCCACGACCAAATGGACCCCACGACCAAATGGACCCCACGACCAAATGGACCCCACGAACAAATCGAAGACTAGACTTAGACCTCGATCTAGACGACCCCCCGACCGGAGACGCCGCATATCACCTGGGTGCCACCATTGAGCCCGTGCTGTCATCGCGCTCAGAACTCAAGGGTGGCCTCGAGTGTGTCAAACATGAATTCCTGGCCGTTGACGCTGGCGATCCCATTTTTAACTCGAATCTCCCATGTGCCTTGCATTTGCGCCTTCCTCGCACCAGGGCGAACCAGTTCCTCGCACTGCCCGATGATGACATCGTGTGCGACGGGCTCTTCATCGGAAAGCGTCTTCACTTCGTCCAGGTCTGAATTCACCTCGTCTGGATCTTCGCCGTCCCCGTAGGCACCGCCACCGTACTGCGTTCGCAACTTGGCGGCGAAGTCTGCGTCTTGTGGAATGCTCGGGTCCACCTCCTCGACCACCTCCACTACCTCCACCGCCACTGGCGCCGCTGGCGCTTTCGGCTTCGCCTCCAAAGCCGCCGGGTCCTCCCACTCGCCCCACCCGTCGTCTTCCTCCTCACCACCCCCTTCACTAACCCCTTCACCAACGCCACTGGTTCCAATGCCACTGGCTCCACCGCCAATGGCTCCGCTGCCATTGGCTCCACTGACCGCGGATCCGGCACCGCCCACTGCAGTCGTGGTCGTGTCCGCCCCCTGCTCCGGAGGCAGCTTCCTTGGTGCTTGGTGGAGCTCCGGAGCCGGCATCTTTGCAGCAGTCGTGGTAGTGGCGGCGCCTCCCGCTGCCGTCGACTCATTGAAACTCGCGTACGTCAAGGCTGTGTCCCAGACGCCGGCGCCGACAACGGGTTGCAGCTGCGGTATAGGCGCCGCAAGACCTGTGTCCAACATGTCCGGCACTTCCTTCTTCACTTGCTTCACTTGGCGACTCGCCGTGCGGTTCGCCTCGCTGATCCGCTGCAAGTCCGCCTCCACGCGCTTCGCAGGCATCTCCTGGATCCGCTCAGCTAACTTGGCCAACCATTTCTGCAATAAACACACGTGTGCAACGCACACACACGTGTGCAACTTTTGTGACACGCGTGCGTAACTTTCTGCTCGCCTACTTGACGTAATTCTCGTAACACAGCCTCGCTCTGTAGGCGACATGCGCCAGTAATAGTCTCATCAATAATCCGTCGGTAGATTTGGGACGTGTGGTCGAAGTTCTGGCTCATCACACAACCACATAAAAACGCCTCGATTAAAACGACCTAATTTAAATTGGATCCCAACTCCCAGTCTGCCCACTTCTCGTCCGGACGCTTCTGGTCCCGGCGCCCGCTCTGGGTTCCAACCCCGCGTCTGGCTATAGTTCATCCCTGTAGCCCGAGTCATCGTCTTCGTCGTCCATGATGCCGTCACTCATGGAATTGTTGATTTCTAGAATCTGAAGAAGCGGCGTGACTTCCGGGATGTCGTAGCAGAATGAGCCTCACGGTGTGTGTGGTGCTTACATGCATCGTGTTCCAGGAAGAACGCCGCTCATTGTGCCCTTGCATTGAAACCTCCGCCTGACCGCGCATTGGGCATCGTACACAACTGTGTCTAAACATACAAAACCGTCGCATGCCGTGTCGTGTATAAGTTCCCAATGGCCCCGCGAATGGTCGAGTTCTTTTCCTGCCCCGAGTGTTCTCTTCTTGTGCTACTTTTTACATTGCTTTTGAATCGGAGCTGAGGTACTCGCCGTTCAGACGGAACTTTACCGGGGCCTTAGTATCCCAATGGTCCTGAGCACATTCCACAACAAAGGTGTCATCGCGGTCATCAGCTGAGAGCCCGACGACTTCCAGTCCGCGAGTTATTTGTGACTTCTGGTCAAGCACACTTAGGATCAAGCCGGATTCCGCATGCTCCATTTTGACTTCATCCCCGCACCGTATTGGCGTGCCTGCTGGTTTCGCAGCAAAGACATCTTTACTCTCCTTCGGCACCCCTCTAGCAACAAGTTGATATTGTCATAACCTACCATTCATCCGCCCGTGTGCAAACGCGAAAGGCGGCAGGTGCAGGAGCCTACGGTTGAGTGGTGAAGTAGGGTAGCTTCTTGGCAGAGAGAGTGGCCGTGTTTTTGACGGGTGCTCTAACTATCCAGGTTGCAGAGCCGACGACTTCGTTGTCGGACCCCTTCGAAATCCCGGTAACGATTTGACCGCCATGCGCCCACTGGATCTTGGTCAAGCTGTTCAAAAGATGGTCCGATTGCACGTGAATTAGACTTATATGAGAACCATAACGGACAACCGATGCATAAGCAACACTTAACAAGCCTAACAATATTCGCATCAAATTTAAAAAAGTACCTAGCGTCACGACTTCGCTGATACGCCCTCACGCGCCGCGAGTGACACACATTGCGCACTACAGACACGGCCTTCTTAAAAGACCACGACGGCAGTGTGCGCATGAGTCGCCGCACACAGCAAGCGTTCCGTGCGGGCACTCATAGATGTCTGTGCAAGTGCACCCACAGACTGCAAGTGCAATTACGTGGTAGCTCATAACCAGAAACTGGCATGGAAGTTCCCGTCCTGGTTCCAAGTAGCTGGAAAGGTGTTCCCTGTATACATTGTACCCCTGCGGTACATCGTACCCGTGGAGCAAATAGTACCCGTCAGGTAAACTGCACCCTGTAGGTTACAGGTACCCGTTGGGTAATCTGTACATTGTTGCACAAAACATTTGGTCAGCAAGCGCTGCCCTGTACATTCCCATTATAATCTAAGCAAGTTCCCGTAAACAACGCCCTCGGCTGTCATGTCTTGTCGCTGTATCTTCGTTTGCTCGTGTCTTCGTTTGCATCATCTCATCTGATCATCTCTTGCCTGTTTACACGCCCTTGAAGACGACGAATTCGCTCTTGAAGTCGAGTTGCTGGACAGCCAGGGCGCGGCGTTTGGGCATGACGCCGTTGAGGTGTTGGATGGCTCTGACGCGATGCGGACTTTTAGGTGTCGTTTCCGGGTCGGCGACGACAGGTTTGATGTCCTGTAGTTCGAGAGGGACGGCGTGACCGAGAGGGAAGGAGAAGCACTTGAGTTCTTGTTGCGTCTTGGGGTCGACTTTATCGAGTTTTGCATTACGTCGGAAACCATGTCGCACATAGAGTAGGTGTGCGGCCTTGTTTGCAGCCCCGACCAAAACATGCACGTTCGACCGTTTTTCTTCATCCGCAATCCTGACGCAATGGTCGAGCAACAACCCGGCGACACCACGCATGGCCGTAACGCACAGCAGACGGATTTCTACTTCATTGCACTCACTCACCACCGCCCACCCCGACTCGTACGGCGCATATGTCACGCACCCTACAATCCGCTCCACCTTCGGCTTCTCCGATCGGTCTCGGTGCACCAACTTCCGGAAGAACGAGTCGTTCGGGTCCGGGTCTGTAAAGATCCCGCTGTTGTCCAACCCAGTCACGGTCGTACTCCCGCTACCTGCAGCGCGAGCACTACCGGCACCACCTCGAGCAGTACCGATCAAGGGAGACTGGTACGCCGACTGGTAGGGCGATTGGAAGACCGATTGTGCGCCGTCCGCCGTGACCGAGACCTCAAGCGGAATGGCTCGCGGTTTCTTGTACGCGCTCACGCCTCGACTCGGGTCATAGTCGAGCAACCGCATGGGACACGGCCCCGCCGTCAGCGAGTGTGGGTCGAAGGCGTCGTCTTCGAGGGTGGCCGTGGAAGACACACTACACCGGTGCGTGGCCTGCAGCCTCGAGACGTCATCCGGCATGGCTGCCACGGCCGTGCTAAACGCAGTGGGATTGAACTTCGCCCGACTCTTCCACTTCCGGGCTGAGATCTGACCTCCGGCCTGACCTCCGGCATGACCTCCGGCCTGACCTCCGGCATGACCTCCGGCCTGACCTCCGGCCTGACCACCTTTTCGGGGCGGCTCTTGGCCTTCTTTGCGACCGACATGGGTCCTGCCCTTGCGCGGTGACGCCTGACCGTTGCCCGACGGCATTGGTGGCGGCAGCTCAGAGTCAGCCAGGGTTTGGTGGGTGCCGAAGACATGTCCGGTAAGTGGCGAGGCGAGACTTCGCCACTCGTTCGCGTCGTAGAGTCCGTCCTTTGGTCCCTGCTGGCGCATGAGTCGTGTACGGACTCCAGCTTTAATCGCCCGGAATTGTGTCTCATCGGACAGAGTGTCAATGCGGCGGTACTCATCCATCTCTTCGGGCGTGACCTCTGCGGCAATTAGACCCGCCGAGCGTTCGCGCATCTCCTCCAAAGTCGGCGGTGCGGGCACCTTGTCGCGATGTTTCGCCGGTAACCCAAACCCGGACAAACGTGTTTGCGAAGACGCACGCCGACCATGACTAGAGCCGCTATCTGCGGTCGTGGTATCTGCGCTCGAACCGGGACTGTCCGTGTTCTTCAATGCCTGTTCGTCATATTCCGCCCGTAACTCCCTTAGTCCGGCCTGCACCCCTGTCTCCGCGCTCTCGAACATGTTCCTCTGTTGTGGTGAGACCGAACGATGGAATATCGACTTTAGCAGCGACATCTTCTCGCTCCGCTCCACGCATACAAACGTCATCGCGTCATTCGAACGCATGCCAGCACTCCCCTTCGCTGTGCACACGTAACTACTCGACCGAGTATACACCGACTCCGAGTCATTCAACTCTTTCAACGTCCGCATATACCCTCGGTACGTCATTCGATCCACTGCGTCGTACTCATCTTCCTTCGCAAGTCTCACATAGTATTCCCTACAACAGCATCGTACACCCGGCGGTTAGTGCACGTCGGTTAATGCACGTCGGTTAGTGCACGTCGTAACGTCAGTGAAGCAGATAGGTGATTAACGTCAGTGAAGCAGAGAGGTGATTAACGTCAGTGAAGCAGAGAGGTGATTAACGTCAGTGAAGCAAGTGAGATGGCAGGTATGCAGGTGAGGGAGATTCCCTCTGCAGTAATGGAGTGACAGATGCCACGACCTGGAGCTTACATAGTCAAAATGTTACAAACTTCGTAGAGTGTCACACTCTAATGATAGGGCTCCTGGCAAGCTATTGCTGAGCTCAATGTTATAACAACAAGTCTCTAAAAAAACATCTCCCCATTTCCTGTCTCCCGTCCTCTGATCCCTCCTTCAGCAATCTCCCCGTTGTGGCAATCTCCCCGTTGTGGCAATCTCCCCATTGTGGCAATCTCCCCGTTGTGATCAATCTCCCCGTTGTGATCAATCTCCCTGTGGTGGGAAACGTCCTTCCTACTGATGTGGTTCAGAAGCTGCGTTCGAGTGTCTAGATCGTGAATTTGAGGCCAAATGTTCTTAACGAATATTTCCTGCAAGTGCACGTCTCTGAAGCTGACGTTTCTCAATACCTCAACCTTGGATTTCATTGTAATTGAGTTGCTCACGACGAAGCCGTAGATGACCTGAGGCAGGTGGTCGCATATACACGCTGCCCAATTACCGTAATCGCCCATCAAGAAGTAATACGACGCCAGCAATGTCGGCGATCCTGCGGAAGAAAGTGTGTGCACACACGGAGCTAGAGTCCCTGGCCCAGTGTGCAGTTTGGCCAATGGCCTGGTGTGCAGTTTGGCCAATGGATTTGGTGTGTGCAGTTACGGAAGGTAGCGAGCTGGTCGAGAGCTTTGATGGCTCTGAAAGCCCCAATCAGCTTAGAGTCAGCGTTAACTATGTCATATTCGGCGGCCACAGTGGTTTCCTGATTTGCGGATTGCGGATTGAGGAAACATTGTTCTGCTACTTCTGGTTGATCAGTAAGTACGGTAATGACCTTGTCGGTCGCCCATTGTAGTTCATGGTATTCAGCATATAGTTGTACGAGTAAGCGCACGTGCGTTTCGTCTGCCAAGTGGATGTGTTCAATGCAAATCTTTATGAAGCGTCGCAGCACGTATTTCCAGTTCGGACAGGTGCCCAGAAGATTGGAGGCCAGGAGCACGTTCAGGACGAATTTCGGACTGAGATAATTAAAGCCGTTCTTCCGCGCACTAGTCTCAAAAATGTCCATGGCACGCTCCAGCTGCTCCAGACCGTTTTTGAGACCAAACGCATTCTGGCCCAAGTCCAGCTGCACTGCCGCACGTGTCTGCCCGCCCTTTTGCGGGGTCGAGTTGCTTGCGGGATGACCGGCTGATTCTGCACCACTCGTGGCCGCATGGCCACTGTTGGCGGCGACTAATTCTTCGGGAGGTCTGCCCGAGCACAGGTCCTCTATGGAAAGATCTTCATTGAAAATGGTGAGGAACTGGAGACGAACCACTAGCTTGGCCAGATTCGGGCTCTCGGCGGAGAAGTACACCGCCTGCTTCCATAAATGCTTTCGGACCAGGACGGAAATCTTGGTTTCAAGCGGGTACTCCGTTATCCAGTAACCTTCCGAAACGTCATCCGGGTTCTCCGACCTATTTGCTGCAGCGACTGTGTTTTTGATGATGGTTTTCGACGTGAGAATCATGACGTGGTCGAGGGCTGGCGTGACGGCATGTACGTTGCTGAAGTAGTCCGCAAAGGTGATAAGTCTGCTCTGCGTATTCAGCACTAATACGGCATAACCAGGGTCATCTTTCAACACAACACACACTGTGTCCTTCCGAATCATCTTGATAGAGTGAGGAGGTCTACCGGCATCCGGATTGGTACGACTAACATCCGAGTAAATACGACCATACGCGCCGTGTCCGAATGGGATACAAGACAGGTTTCCTTGTTCGGCGTCCACCATGTACAATCCTTCGGTCTTGGCTACGAGCAAGTGACCAAAGTTCCAAGTCATGCAGTCCTTTTCACAACCAAGATCTTTGTCCTGCCATAAAAGGTGGCCATTACAGTAAGCATACAATACATTCCTGGTTGATATGAATTCAATCAAAGTACAGCTCTCCTCTTTCGACCCAGAAGTCACGCCCGATGTCTGGCCACCACCACCACCAAAAAGCGGACCACCGCTAAAGGTGATCGGGCCACCATTGGTCGGGCCACCATTGGTCGGGCCACCATTGGTCGGGCCACCACTGGTCGGGCCGCTTCCCTGAGAGGTTATCTCGATCTCTCCGAAAACGATGTTGGTGATTCGGCCCCCTCCGACGGACTTAAGATTTGCTTGCTGTTTATATTTCTGTCCGGCGTACGGGTTACCCGTGAAGCGGGTAACTTCACCAGATTCGTAGCCGATGCAGACCACATCTGCGTTGGAGTTTACTGCAATTGACGATATCCCTGGTTTATGGGGTAGGTCGTGTTCCACAAGTAAAGCCAGAGGTGAATGTGTTGATTGTGGCTTGGTGGAGACGTCCTTTGCCGTCATAGCCGCTCGAAATAAAGAGTTCAGTGGCGGTACAAAACTGTATAGTTGAATCAACAACTTTCCTTCTGTTATTGGGAATAGAACTAGAGTATTCCTTAACGCCAGCTGGGGATGTTTATTGTATACCATTTCTGCCCTAACGATCGTCGACGTCTGTACACATGCCTGAACGCTATATAATATACCATGCTCTATTTGCTGAGATCGATCAACTGGTATTTGAGGGGCATCAGGGTCCTGGTAGAAGACCCTATTCGGGCCAATTAAATGAATACGACCCAGAGTATCGCAGCAAATCACATGTTTCGGACCGCCGCACACGTGTGCTATTTCCAATGGTGGCGTAAATCTTGATTTCAGACGGTTATCCGTTAACTGAGTCCTGAAAGGCGATTTGCTAAAGAACGTGACTTGAATTGACTCGTCCATATCAGAAAAAAATGGTGAGATATGTCGAGGTACCCGTCAAACAGCAAGTGGTGAGAGAAGTCCGAGTTCCGAAAGTGGTTAAAGTACAGAAAAGGGTGCCGCAAGTCCAGGTTCAATACAAGGATGTCCACGTCCCCAAGATCGAATTCAAGGATAAACCAATCTATGTAATGACCACAAGGGGGGCGGTGATAAGCAGAGAGGGATGTGTGCTGAGCAGACCGGGCCAGAATGGGTCGCATTTTAGACTGATGATGTTAGAGAGAACGTAATTTACAGGCCGAAGGATCAGTACATAGACATACCCCAACAGTTTGTGGAGTACGTGCCACAAGTGGAGAAGCGGGTGATCGAGAAGTGTGTCAGTGTGCCATCCGGAGACGTGCAGGAGATATATCGACCACATCGAGTGTATGACGACGTGCCGGTTCCGTACTACCAGCATAGTTCCCAGACGGTGCCCGTGGCGCAGATGTTTGAGCCTTCCATTACTGTGTCCACCGAGGCGTACAATGTCCCGTCAGATGTCTGGGTGCCGAAGGTGGTGCCCTTCGACATTTACATACCCAAGCTGGTGGACGCGCCTCTATACGATAACGGCCAAGTAGAAGTAGAAGAATACCCCGTGAACGTTCCATGGCCTCACATGCGACACTTGGAACAGCACTTCAACCCTTCGTTGGGTGAAGACCTCCGCGTGCCGCAAGCCCATTATCACTCGACGCATGCCAGACCCACCACCGTCGGCTACGACCACGGGGTCTCCTACCCCCGGACCAACGGACGTGCCTCTCGCTTCTATCCCGAGGAGGCCTATGAAACCTACCACGGACCTACGTATCACGGAAATACCTACTCTGGAGGAGGAGTCTACACCAACGGCCAAGGCCACCATGGCCGCAGACGCCATAACGCCAATGTTGAGTCCGCCAGGACTTGGTTCCCTGCGTACGGCAAACACCATAACTACGCACCCCGCCATCTAGTCTCCTACGGCAGCCACCCCGCCGTCGTGCCCGCATCGTATACGCAACACTTCTAAAACCACGCCCACCACCGAATAGGATTCGCCAACCGTATGCGTCACTCGGCTAATGCACCCATTCGCGAATGCCCCCGTTGGCGCATATACAGACGAACTTGTAGCGAACATCGTGGTGAGAAGCCTCGAACCTCTTAATGAGATTAATGCTCTTAGTCAGCGATTATAAGGTCTTTCCAGACCGATATCGCGGAACAATGCCGATAAATTTAATTCGCGCACACGTGTGCGCCCTGCCCGAATCTTATGAATAATGACATCCTTGCCCCTTTGACGTTAGCGGTTGATGCGGGAGGAGTGCGGGACGTCATCGGAGTACGTAATCGCGTGATCTCCATCTGAGTTCCTCTTTTAGTTTTTCGTGGGCACCATATTGATCACGTCCATCTGCGAAACACCAAGCAGGTCAATATTCAGTTCTCGATCGAAATTCGCCATTTGCGTGACGGCCCCGCATGAAGATCCCATCGAGGTGTGGTCGTTCAGTCGGAGTCGGACGCTTTCGTTGGCTTTTGGCCGGCGCTGCACATGTTTGAGTAAGAAGAAGTTTGTTTTGTGAACGCAGTGATCTCAGACCCTTTGACGTATGAAACGGAGAGCGAGGCGGCGGTTGCCTATCGGGAGATGCTCTTTGCGATTGACATTGACCCGGGGCTGCAGGATCTGACTGCATGGCTGCTGAAGGTTCACGACGACTACGAGGACGAAAAAAACGGATCCACTCCGGACGGCGGCGGTCCTGCGCCCGCCAGCGGGAACACCATCTCAGACAGTGACTCCGTGGATGTGGGGGAGATGCCAACGGTGACTCCGTGGCAGTCTGGGTTTGCGGCGGGTATCGAGATAATGGGTCGTGTGCAGTTGCCATTGGAGCGTCACGGTTTGGTTACCTTGGAGTTGCGGGACTTGGATTTAAAGGTGAAAGGTTTGGGAGGGACGACGGTGATGTTGTCAGGGTTCGTGGATACGTTGAATCTGAATGCGATTCCACCGGTCAGCAATCGCGTGAATTTCGAGTGGCCGCGGCTGGCGGATTACCCAGCGTTGTGGGAGGCCTTCCGGCCGTATACGCCTGTGCGGCGGTTGTCGGAAGTGACGTTGAATGACGCGTTACTTTCGTTGCCAGGTGCCTACGACGCAGTTATAGCCTGTTGCCTGTCGACTAAGGCGGCGTTGAACATGGTGGGAAGCGAAAAGACATGGGCTTTGTTGCTGGATTATGTCGAAAATTGTCCGGCGCGATGTCTTGTACGGCATGAAGTCGAGCGGCGGCGAGACCAGTTCTATGTGCGTTTCGGCGAGCCCGGCGCCGACGTGGGAGGCCGCATGTTCGTGCTGCACGACCCTGAGGAGGCGGACGGGGCGCTGCACGTGGCGCTGCTCTTCACAGGACGCGAGGTTGCGCCGCATGTTTGCTGGATCAGTTTGCCCGCGCGTGACCCCGTCTCCGGACAGCCGACTGACCTCGAACAGAGCACGGCCGCCTCGGTCTACGATGCCCTCGTCTACACCTTGAGTGCGACTGACGAGGTGGTCTTCTACGCTGGCGGGCGCAGTCAGGGTCAAGCGCGTTTATTGGTACAACACACCCCGCGTCGGGCGCCGCTTAATGATGTCGATCGTGACCCCTTTTTCTGCGACGCAATGGATCGTTTCTGCGATGCCGTCGCCGCTAGTTTGCGACCAGCGTTGTTTAACGGCTTGCCGGCGGCAGCGCTGAAGGAGGCTCAGATGGGATTCACCCGTCACCGACGGGTGCGGGAGGAGGTTCTAAGTGAAGAAGACTTGTTCCGCACACGTGCGGAAGGCATTCTACGGTTCCACTATGCGCCCACAACTATCCCGCTCGTCTACTCCGTCTGTCGCCGGGCGGGCTACGCAGCTCTACTCAAATTGGACGCACCCACTCTTGCTAGACCTGAGCTGCGCGACCTCGCGATCTTCGAACCCGGTCCTGAGCCTAGTCTGCGCTATTTGCCTAAACGCCGGCCTTGCCTCACCGATTCAGAACCCGAAACTGAAAACTGGCTCGGGGCGGCGGGGGTGGGGGTGGAGGATGCCCCCCCGGGTTGGGCCGGAGACGACGGTTGGGCTGGAGCGATTTCGGTCGAGGAGTTGCGCGAGAGTGCTCGCAAAGAAGCCCTTGCACGCGCCCGGTTGGGTGCCGAAGCGACGTTGGACAGAGGCGCGGCGCCGGCGACGGTCGTGGACGTGGTGGTGGATGGGGTGGTGAATGCGCAGTGTTGCATCGTGAGTGGCTTGGAAGACGGCACGGCGGGCGAGCCGTGCGTGTTCATGGTTACGGTCATGGATGCTGCGAACCGTGTGGTGTTGTCGGATCGTGTGCAGATCGTGTTGGTCTTTCTCTTGCTCTCGACGGGTGTGGAAGCGGCCATGCGCGATCCGTCGCAGCGATTGTCCTGGGTGCGTGAGTACGAGCTATTGAGTGACGCCGGTGTGTTGGGCGAACGCACGTTGTCGGTGAACAAGTGCGAGCCGTATCGCGATGTGCGTTGGAGCTGTCAGTACGTGCAGCAGGGCCAGTACGTGGTGCGTGCGACGGTGCAAGACCCAGGCGCATATGCGTTGCACGTAAAAGCGAATGGACTCGACGTGGTGGGATCACCCTTCAAACTCTTCTTCCGCTCGGCTGCACCTGACCCCGGCGCCTCGCTTGTCGAAGGACTGGGGACCCTCGCCCAGGCTTGCTTTGCGCCCGATGTGCACCAAGCCGTCCGCCGCTGCCTGCGCAACTGGCGCGAAGCACGAGACCATAAACTCTCTCCCGCTCTTTATCGCAAATTCAAGGCCGACTACCTCGCCGTCCGTCCCGACCGTATCAACACTCTCCGTCCCGTCCTCCGCGACCGTCGCGGCGTACAAGTCAGTCGCGAGTACTATCGCACCAGCCTCCTAGACGTCTACCTCAGCAGCAACGCCACTCTTCTCGCCCCGGACGACGGATCGGACACGCGCCCGGGCACCATGCGGGACTCGAACGCGGGACTGCCGGATAAGGAAAACACAGGCGCGAAGGCGGATAACGGGAGCGCCAAGGCGGACAACGGGGGCACGGGGGTGGGGGCGAATTCCGGTGCCGGCAGCGGACAGTTGTGCATCGATCCGACGGCGGTGGTGCGGTTCAAGGTGGAATTGTCGCTGCAGCAGTTGGAGTTGCTGAACAGCTGGCGGACGTGCGAGGACGTGGACCTGCCTAAGTTGGGGCAGTTGGAGTCGGTGACGGTGGACGTGCGGCTGAACGGGCACTCGATCGGGAACTGTCCGGCGTTTGTGCGTGTGAAGAACGTGGAGAGGTTATTGCAGTGGTACGTATCGTGCAAGCCGTACCTAGTGTTGTTAGCGGAGGTGGGTGAGCGGCCGGGGGCAGAGGTGGGTGCGCGGGCTGCGTTAGGTTCACATTTGGAGCGACTGGCGACCTTGGCGGCGCCGGGTCGAGTGGCAGCGGACGCAAGTGCGTGGCAGCGCGAGTGGCTGGCGTTGCGTACGGCGGTACGCGGTGGTGCAGGAGCAGCGGCGGCGGCGGAGCGAGCGGGCGCCGCGGCCGCATTGCCGATGGACGGGCGTAGCGAAGTGGCGTTGGCACACCTGTTCATCAATGCGATGGTCATTACCTTGGCGGAGGAGGAAGGTAGCGATTCCGCGGCTGCTGGCACCCCCACTCGTGGCCCTGACGAGGCGGAGAGATCTGCCGTAGCGACTACTACCGCCACAGAAGCACTCGTCGGACCCAGGGAGGACAGAGGACGCCGAAATTCGACTGCCACGGAGTATACTGCGGTTGTTGGCCTTTCCCCGGAAACAGCTACTGACGACTTTCGGACGACGATTGAGCCCGCCGTGAACGTGGTTGCAATGACGATTCGCGAGTGGTACAGTACCATCGTGGAACCCGCCCGCACCGTGAACACACCACCGGTTATCACGTGACCAAGTCGGTCCCCGAAGCGCTCAAGAAGCATATCGAGGAAGAAGGCAACTTCACGCCGGAATACTCGGGGATCTTTCCGAAGGTATCTCTGGCTCAGCTCCGTTCCGTG